ATGTTCTGAGTTTAACTAGTAATTAATAATAATGGAAAAAGTTTAGCAATCGTGTTCTACAATATAGGTTTACCAACGATGGGTTAATAAATTAATATTTACATTTTTTTTTTTTTACAAAATAAGTAACGTACTTTTTTTTATTTAGCGGATACAGATGACCAACATGGAATTGGAAATTGGTCTACATCAGAACCATCAATAGTTTCGCTAGCAGATTCATGTAAGTTAATTTTTTTTTATTTGAAATAAAATAATATTTCCTTTTTTTTTTTTTAAAAAAAAAGGGTCATCAACAGATGTTACTTATGAATCGGATGCAGACGTGTTACCTCCACTTCTGCGTCTTAATCAGCCAGCTATTGAAACCATTTGGCTAACTGATTCGGATTGTAGTAACATAAATCATATGTTTAAGTTTTAACTATATTTATTAAACTATCATTTTGTAATAACATATTATATATTCAAATTTATACTATATGTGACATTTTTATATAACTATCATGTTATTATTATTCAATATACAACGCGCGTAGTGTGATATAGAACCTCTTTGAATAATTTCAATAAACTTTAAATACTCTAATAGGTAGCGTACATACTCATGACAGGCGTAACATTTACATAACAATAAGTTCATTAAAGAAGGGGTCGGACACACGACTCGACACGAACTTAACCAACACAAAAACGCACTATTTAACCCAGCCTACAGCGCAGCGAAGCACAGTTGCTTTCTCACATCTCTCATACAACCTTCCTCTCCTTATTGTGTGGACGCCAAAGTCGGGTAGCTGTTGTCAGTCCACCGCGGCCACCAATATCATAATCCTTCCTTATTATCCTTACACACTCATACGCCAAGTCCGTAGCGATACATAAAAAATACTATATTCATTACAATTCAATCGCTTAAATACTTTAAACCGTACGAGTTTCTTATCACACACGTGCCATTATTAACCAACAAAAACACTGTTGTTCTTTCGTTCATTATATATACATATACCTATACCTAATTACTTTCCTCTTAAAGGTATCATTAAAGGACATTAATTCTAGCGGTCGAACAATCCTATTACACCCATGTGACTATTTTTGGTCAGCAAGGAATGTAGTCGGCTTATAATAACTCAGTAGACGTTGTTATTTCTGACAAGCGCATTGATTATTATAAAACCATTGGTAGACCGTGTACTGAATTACACTTTAACGAAAAACAGATGGTCGTAAGATAACGTTAAAACACCATTGTCTGAAATATTTTATGAACGAAAACATTCGCGTTAGAACAACGTTCATCTCGACATATTAAGATCACATACTCAAGGAATATCGACAAGGTCATAGAGCTTCGAGTAACTCCACGACAAGGTATGTACTATATACAATATTATAACACTGTGTAATAGTAAGTCTAGAGGCAGGAAGTGAGCTCTTGTAGTAAATATACACACATGCACACCCCGATTAAGAGACTTTACATATATATTTAAAATACCCATTCACCGCCGCTTCCCCGTGCTTTTCTTCTATTACAGGATTAATATGTAAGTTAGTTTAATTTTTTTTAATTATTGTTGAATTAATATTATACTGTTTTTTTTTTAGGGTTTTAGGGAGGTATTTATTATTGTTGAAAACATGAACGTTGGAGATCACTGTAAGCTGATTTTTAATTAGTAAAATAAAAAAAAATATTTCAATATATATATTTTTTTTTTAAAGGTTAACAGATAGAGTTGTTGGAAATTATTGTCATGTGTACTCTACGCTATGAGACTTAAATGTGAGTAATTATATATATATATATATATATAACACAATTGATTAGTTAATAGAATGTTTATTAAACACTTTTTTAAATTCACAATACAATTACATTATTTAATAAGATTAATAATACTTTAAAAATAATCCTCGTTCACTCAGATTTTGTTAAATTTTTTATTCTGTAAGCGCTTGGATCGACGAGCATCTGGCGTTTTCACAATTAATACTGAAATATCATTTTCTAAGTTTTGATTTAATATTTTAACACTATTTTTGGTTACTTCAATAATTATATATTTTAACAAACGACACTTTCGACAGGAGCAGCATTCTAAATGTGAAGGCATTATAATACCTTCTTGTAAGACGGCTATTTCTAAACTAAAACGAGTGAAATATTTTTTTAAATAATTAGCTTGTATACGTTTTCCCTCTCTCAATACATATATATTTTTTTTCCTTTTCGAAATTATACTATAGTTACTAGAAGTTCTCGCATAGTCAAATTTATAATTTGATCATAATTAATTTTTAATTCATGGATGAATAGCGCATTTGTATCCGTTGCAAACATTTGAAAATCATAGTTTGCGACAAAAGCCGTTATGAAATCGATACGTCGACATTCACTTGAAAAATTATTAACATCATTAAGTATAGCTGAATATATATCGTTAAAAGATTTTTGATACAACTCCAACTTATTTAAGCGTTTAGTTATATGTGCTTCAATACAATTTGAAATCATCTGAAGTGTCAACAAATTTATACGCGTCAATTTCATACGTTCATTTTTATTACGTAATATCACTGAATCTGTTTTAGGGTTGGTAGTACAACTAAAATCTGAACCTAATTGTATTTTATTTGAAACATGTTTTTATATATGATTTATTTCTTCCACTTCTTATTTAGTAAATAATTTTCTATACTAAACAATATATAAGGTTAAACTGTAATTTGTAAAAATGGGCGGTAAAGCCCCATTTTGCTACTACTTACCAGTCATTCCAATTTTTGCTGGACTCTCGGCCTTGGGAGCTTTGGCCGGAGGAGCTGCAAATGTGGTAAAAGTTGCCAATGAAATTAATAATCGTCTCGGTGCCGGTGGTCAACCATTGAAAATTGGCAAAGGATTTTATTTGTGTCCGTACAAGTCGGGTTCGAGTTACAAATTGGTCAGCAGCAGCAGCAGCGGTGGTAAAAGAACCGTCAGAAAGCGTACCAAACGTACAAACATGAAGAATGCAAATTGACTAATTGACAAGCTACCCAATCGTGCACTGTTTGATTTTGAAATATCGAATTTTGCAACACGGAACAATATACCGAGATTTCTAGGAGTGTTTTGCCGGGACACGCTTCCACGTGTACCGTACGCCTCAGAAACGGGTGTCATTAATTTGGACTTGGAGCGCAATCCCGGTTCACATTGGGTGGCTTACCGAAAGCAAGGACACCACGTTAGTTATTTTGACAGTTTTGGAAACTTGCCACTCCCGCTGGAGGTTCAAAAGTATTTTAAAGACTGCACCATTGACTACAACTACAGTCGTTATCAAAAGTTCAACACGATCAATTGTGGACACTGGTGTTTGAAATTTCTACTGAACACGCTCGACAATGGTTACAACAGTGACGTTAAGTGGTGAGGGTTCCGAATTGCAATGTATATTCAACCCTCCGCTGGAAGTGGGCGGGCACTGTGAAATTGGATTGTTGAGCTTGCACATATGGAACACTATACCGAACGTCGATGAGCGAAACAACAAGTTTACTGCTGGTGGTACATAGGATGCAGCCAGTACATCTCAACCGTATGCGCTTCATGAGGTAACCATACCCACGGGATCGTATGAATTTGAAGACATGAAAAAGATTATCACAACCGATTGGCCGGATGAAATGAAATCGTTTCAAATGGTTGGCAATCACAACACTATGCGGTGTGAAATAACCAGTGATTATCCAGTGGATTTCACTGCAAGGGATTCGATTGGTGAACTGCTTGGATTCCGCCCAAGAGTGCTCGAATCACACAAGACACACACATTTGATTCTCCGATGAAGATAATCAGGGTGACGTGTATAAGAGTCGATTGCAATGTGATTGAAGGATCATTCCACAGCGGTCGTCAGTCACACACGTTGCACAAATTCTTTCCCAACGTTGCCCCTGGCTACCGTATCATAGAATGTCCTAGACACGTTGTATACTACCCTCTGAACACAACCCAGTTGAGCACATTAAACATTCGGCTGCGTGATCAAGACGGACACCGGATAAACCTACAGAACGAACAATTAACCGTACGTCTGCACATCAAGCGCCGTCGCAATGTATGATGATCAAACTACAGTGGTAGCGTCGGCTCTATCTCTCTTGTGGACCCGTATAAGACAATTGGTCACCACTCGAGTCGGTCTATGGTTGTGCATTTCAATTACAGTTTTACAAATTGTACTGCATTTATTCCTGTCGACTGCCGTTGTCTTTGTCGATCCAGTACAGCATAATTGTATTGTCAATTGTTGCACTCCCAACAACAGTATTACAACTGTTGACCGTACCGATACTCTTGCACGAGAACTTTACGTCCTGGACGACCAAGTGTTTGTACTGGAAAAGCGAATCACCGTTTTGGAACAGACCGTTGCTCAGACCAAACGATATGCCATTGATATTCAATCGGAAGCATCAGCGCCAAGATCGTATGCCAAAGGTTCAACCAACATTGTTAAACTCAAAGCGAATCAATCGCTCACAGACAGCCAAACGTACTACGCGTCGTTTAACTAAGCACAACAACCGTCGTCCCTGTCGCACATTCTTACAAAAGAGTATTATATTTTTAAAACGTTTGGGTTGTCGCATCCTCACGACTACATCAAAGTATGGCTGACTATTTAAACGTAATGGAAAAATATCATCACGATGATAGTATCAAACGTGAATACTATCTAGAACATCAAAGTTTCAACAATGCATACGAGAACAATGATGAGATTCGTATCGAAGTGTGCAACAAGGAAAAGTTTACGGTGCCCGGTGAGAGTTATCTGCAAATTGAAGGATATTTGGATAAACCAGCGGGGGCCTTGGGCGAAGTGATGCTCACCCAGAACGGACTTATGCATTTGTTTGACGAGATCCGGTATGAAGTTAACGGCAAGGAGATTGACAAGGTCAAAAACGTTGGTGTGGTGACTACAATCAAGGGATTATGTTCGTTTACACCCAACGACCCATCACTCGACTGCAACCGGCCGGATGGAAACACATCAATGACAGCAACACCAGTCGAGGCCTTATGGACAAGACAGAGTTTGTCGCACAGTATCCACTGTCGGCATGCATGGGCTTTTTCGAACGGTTCCGACGTGTCCTGATCAATTGTACACAAACGCTTGTGCTCATCCGATCTAGCCGGGACATTGGGACAATAGAGTTGATACAGCCGGCGGAAAGTGACAAAAAGGATGTGATTGCAACAGCAAACGTGTCACTGCTCAAACAGACTTCGGTGAAAATTACTAAAATCAAATGGATCGTGAAGTACTTTGAACCAAATGTGAAGACTGAATTGGGACTCATGCGCATTCTTGACGGGAAGCGGTGGTTGCCTTTGGAATATCAACACTGGGACATTGCTGTGTATCCTATGGTTCCTCAAACCACTCATCACACATGGTCGGTACGGACATTTTCAAACGTTGAGAAACCACGGTATTTGCTCATTGCGTTGGGCAAAGAACATTCCATAATGTCCAAATCGGACTTTCAACACTGTACACTGCGCAACGTCAAAGCATACTTAAACTCCGACGAGTACCCGTACGAGAACTACAATACAGATTTCGATGCGGGCAAGTACACATCAATGTACAATGCGTACGTTCGTTTTCAATCTATGTACTATGGACGTACCAATCCACAAGCTTTACTGGACCGTGTCCACTACAAGGAACTCGGACCGATTGTCGTCATTAATTGTTCAAAACAAAACGATACTGCCAAGACATCAACGGTGGACCTACGTCTTGATTTTGAATGTGCCAATTCCTTTCCACAAAACATATCATTGTACTGTGTGATTATTCACGATTGTCAGATGGAATACAATGGATTTAGTGGAGAGGTTCGAAAGTTGTAATTTTGTATATATTTGTATTATATAATTTACATGTCTATTTATTGTCTAATAATAATAACACAATTTTTTTGTAATCAAATATTGTTTATTGCGACAATTAATTATACATTGTCATTTATTGTTTAATATATTTACAATATTTTTTTTATACAGAAAATACAATTGGTTTTTTTATTTAACTATCCATTTTCCTCCGTTTAGTTCACACCACCTTAACTTTACATCCATCATTGGTTCTGAACCGTTTGACTGTTCCGGTATATCAAATTCAATGCCTGGGAACACTCTGGGCAGATCCAATTCAGCAAATTTGTTGAAATATTTACCCTGTAAATAAATTGTATGATGTTTTTAAAAGTTTGATTTTTTAAATGATTGCAAAAAAAATATTACCTTAATTCTAGGACTGTTTTTCACAAAGATTACACTTGAAGTAAAATCCATGCATTTTTTCATATACTCTGTATTGATGATTTCGTGAAAGTACATCATAAACCCATTGATTTTCGACGTTGGCATATCAATTGTTGTTTTAGTATCATCAATGTTGCTGACAACATGTTTTAATAACGTTTTTATTTCTTGCACAACGCATGGTCTTGTCAGTATCAACTTTCGGTATATGTTATCGAATATTATATTTTTTAATTCATACAAACGCCTTGTCGATTCCACAGTCATCCAAATTTCTATTTTCATATTTGGACACTTTGTCCCAGTTGCATGTTCCAAAAATATTTGCTTCTCAATCAACATGTATATTTTCATAGAGTAAGCTTGCAATACTCTCACGGTAGTGTATTCATCTTGTAATATTACCATACCGTCCAAGCTCTCGGTAAGTGATGCAAAGTATGGATAAATTGCATACAGTCGTTGCAAGAATTGTATATTTACTTCAATCTGCTCGGTACTATTGCCAAACACAATTTTTGGCCAAAATAAATCGCCAGAGTCCAGTCCGATGTGCAAGTAAATCGATGAGTCAATTGTGTACACTGAAGTGTCGATTAAGTTATCAGAGTGTTGTTGATTCTGTTGACATGTCATCTTGACGAGTTGTTGTAGAATACTGATTTACATTTTCTGTACACTTATGTCAACTAATATAAAATGAGTAGTTTGTATGCATTTTTTTTCTGTATGCAAAATCAATCCAGTTCCCCTCTCATAATTTGTTTTAATTCTTCGTAAATTTTATTGTATTATCTTTTGTACGTTGAGCATGGGCACTGCCCAAGGATTATAGCCGGACCTGTGTAATTACAAATACAAACCGGGTATTCTCCATCCTCATTTTCAATATATCCATCTCTGTCGGTAATCCGTTTTAATAGTTCATGTTTTCTTGTTACTTTTGCAATTTTTTTGAAAAGTTGTTCCCTTTGGTGACTTGACATCTCGATTGATTGCTGTAGACTAGTCACATGTTCTTTTTTTGTTTCTACAGCTAATATTTTTATTTCGAGATTACATTAATTTTTTTGTTGCCAACATCATACCAGTTCCCCACTCATAATGCTGTTTATTTCCCCTTGAATATCATTGTATGCGCTTTTGACGATTGCACATGACCACCACCCGTCGATTTGATCACATCCCTCTGTATTGCAAATACAATTGACATATTTACCATCGTTATCTGCAGTTGAAAATCCATATTGCTCTGATGTGTTTTTCATAATTGAATATTTTCCAGACATTTTCGACACCCTTTTGAACAATGTGTTCCGTTCGGGAAACATTATAAATAATTGCTTGAGCTGCTTGTCGATTTTTCGCTGCAAAACCATCTTGCCCCAGTGTTCGCACAAAACTAAACCTGATAAACCGATTGGAAATACCAGTATAAATACTATTGAAAATGATAAAAAACGTTATCACGATCTACATTATTTTTTGCAATTAAAATTAACTAAAATTGTTATGTACTTATGTGACGTCATAATTTATAACGGTACTGCGGTGTACCGTTGTGATCTCAGTCACCTGTGATAACAATAGAATTTTTAACTGTGAATAACAATAGGTTTCGGTTTCCATTGTTCTCCAGAAAACTGTTAAACTTGCAAATATGTATAACAATAGGTTGTCTAGATTACTGACCTATGGCAATGCATAGAAATAATTGATCTGAGATAACAATGGATTTTTAATCGGTATAACAATAGGTCACGGTTCCTTTGAATGCTAGAAAATTGCTGAGTATGTAACATTTTCTGGAGAACAATAGGATGCTTCACTGACCTTGACAATGGGCATTTATCGCACAGAAAATTGCTGAGCATGCAAAATTTTCTGGAGAACAATAGGTCGCGTCATTCTATTGTTCTCCAGAACCCCTATTTTATAGACTACTGAAAACCAATCGTGATACTTGATAATATTATAGAATCATATTTACGATTACAAAATAATGTGAAAACGTTTTAATTTGAGAGGACGCCCGTCTCTTTTAAATAAATCGTAAAAACGGATTAATGGAAAAGCGTGTAGTGGATGTCTAAGCGGAAAGGTCATAGAAAAACCATGTTGATACCATTTAATGAAGAGAATATTGACTCAGTTCTCTCGTTGTTTTTTTTAGAAATTTTAAATTTTACCTTACATACAAGCGTTTAAAAAGTATAAAACTGTCATAAATACAAGTTGAATTGTAAATGTTGGGTTAATAATAATAAAACAATTGGGGTGAATTGAGATTGAAAATTCAGCGAAACAGAGCCTCTTATCGATTTTAAGTTGTAGGACATAAGCAGAAAAAAATGTTGCAGGTGTATTGTTCAAATAATAACATGTTTCCATATTAAACCAAAAAAATATGAAGGTTACCAAAGTACATTATTTAGCAAGTGTTATTCCGACTTTGTAGATACAATTTTAATAAAGCATTACCCTAAAAAGACAATGTATTTGGTAAAACAATAAAACGATACATGTTTCAAAAAAATAAAATGCTCATGTAAAGTAGAACATAGTTGTGAAAATTGTATATGTTATAGTTCCATTTTAGATCTACCTACGGTCTAGTTTTCAGATGTAAATCTCATTTTTTCATGAAAAAAAGAACTAAAGAAAAACATTCTATCCCTTCTAGGGGAAAGAGTTTGTAATTTTTTTTTTTGGTTTGTTAATGTTTATCGATAGTACTATGTTTGAAGAACAATTCATTTAAATTTGGAACTTTTTCGACTATTTTTGAAAAAGTTATGAGCATCGTAATTTTAAATTGAAAAATTTGTAAATTTTTTGGGTGTTTCTCTCGATTTTTTATAAATTAAATAAATAATAATTATTATCAAAAAGAAAAGTTCAGTTTTTGTATTTTATCTTTATCTGTTGTTACAATAGGTCTCGGAGCACCTACAAATTTCCACATTTCCACAGGTCATGAATAACTTTACTTTTTTATTTTTTAAAAATTGTCTTATATTCATTTAAAATATTTTGAAAATATCATTTTTATTATTTTTCTGAAAAATTGTATAGTTGCTTGCTTACTTGGTAAAGTATTGCAAATTTATTTTAAGTTGTGTTATTTATTTAAATGGGAATAAAACATACTTTGGTGTGATGGTTTGTATGCTAGTTCAAACTGTTACCTGTTAGTCGTACACCAATGCAGTAAATAAGAAACATATCTAACTACAAAAACAAATCTTTAAAGTTGACCTAGTTTTGTATTTTTAAAGTTTCCAAAATTTAACTAATATTGATAATTACTATATTTGGGGCAAATTTTTCTTAACTTCTTAAAGCTCAGGTGTGTACAAATTTTCGGATTCAAGGTCCGAATTCATATTAATAATATATTAAGTTTTATTTTGTGCTCTAAATTTTTGTTGTATGATTTTCGCCAGTATATTGTATTTAACAGAAAATTTGTAAGCACAATTGGTAATATTTTTTTTTGCAACTTATTTACCACAAATTCGTATCGATAAGAAATAACATATGTGTAATAATCATACACAATAAAATACATAACAATGGTCTATGTACCCAGATTTTTATGTAAGGTCTTGAATAAGTAAAAACGTTTTTCTTCAAAATCGAAAAACCACACATTAATATACTTTTTTTTATATTTAAACTAACGTTTTAAAAAAAAAGTAATGATTCCAATATTCCATGTATACAATATTCTTCAGTTAATACTTTAACTAACATATTATAAATATAATATAGATTATTTTAGAATATTGGGCAACTAAAAAAATTTAATTTTTTTTCCTATCAATTTTATTCGAGAAAAATTTAAGGTGTGGGGAACCAAGGGCAATGAATTTTTATAACATAACAATAAAAAAACAAATTATAATATGATAATAATAAATAATACCGGTCGATGACTACTATTACATAAATATAGTGTACAGAATATGAAAATAATATGGTACTCGGTATTATAATTTTTTTTTTTAAATTGTATTAACTAAACAAATAATAACTAATGTGAAAACTAATGTGTTCATATGTTGCTACAATAGGTCTCAGAGTATCTACACATTTCCACATTAGGTCATAAATAATTTTACTGTTTTTAAAAAAAAATTGATTTGTGTAACGGCTTCATTAGAAAATATGATTAGCCATAACATTACAAAAGAGAAAAGAAGAACAGTGTTGTTAAGTTTTGTACATATAAAAAAGAGAAAAATCAAAGAAAATAGAAAACAAAATTTGTAATTTGTTTAAAAGTGTAATATTTTGAAAAAGTCATCGGTAATTTTTGTGCTGTCTAAGTTGAAGGCTTCTTTAAGTGAATTCGGGATTGAATGTGCAATCCGTGCATTGGTGTAAGTAGGGCAGTGGACGAGTATGTGTTCGATAGAAATGTTTGATTGACATGTGTCACATATTGGACCAGGTTCCTTGTTAACGAGGTATGAGTGAGTGAGGTGTGTGTGACCTATTCTGAGTCTGGTGTTAGCTGTCTCTTCTCTTATTTTGTTTTCGGAGTTGCTTTTCCATTTATGGACACTTTTTTTATACACTTT